AAAGTCATGCATTGAACAGGCACGCTCTTATGAGTCCTTGCTCATCCCATTTCTCAGCTTTCAACCCTTACTTGTAATCATTTTTATTGTTTTCTTGTGTATTCGGTTTCTTTTCTTCCCATATGCAAAAGGTAGCATACAGTTTATAGTGGTCTACGTCTTACTTTTATCATCTAGCAATATACCCAGGGCCCTTTCTGCATTAGAACGTACAGGTGTTTGGGATTTTTTTTTTTTTGTAACAGCTGCGTGGGATTCCACTGTGTGGATGTACCATGGTTTATTTAACAACTGCCTTACTGTAAACCCTTTGGCTCTTTCCAGTCTCCCACCATCACAAACAATACAGCAATAAATAATTTTGTACTTAAGTATCTCATGTGTGTGTGTAGGTAATCAGAAAAATTAATTCTCAGAAGTGGTTTTGCTGGCCCACAGGATAAATGTACTTATCATGTTGATAGATATTGCCAATTTGGTCTTCATATGAATTTGACCATATTCTACTCCCAGCAGCAAAGCCTGAGAGTGTAAAACAAGCATGTTTAAAGCAATTTAACAGAAGACAAATGAAGAAAAATAATGAAAGTTAGCAGAACCAGGGGCAAAGAGCATCGATACATTGTAGGTAAAAATCGCCTCACATATTAGAAATGGAAAAGTTCGGTATGGATTGTACTGAAGGAAAGGATATGCGATTTTTACAGCCCAAGCAGCCCTTATACCACAGTCTCTAACAACAACAGCAGCTCACCTGTATGTGGCGGGTCACACAACACAACCCTTTTGTACATTAGCTCAGTTGATCTTCACAATATCACATGAAGTATGTGAGGGAAATAGAATTACTTGGCCTAGGCGAAACAGATGGATCCCCGCAGTGCTGGGACTTAAGCCCAATCTTCTGACTCAAAATTCTGGGCTTTTTCTTGGAAGAAAACCTAGGTGGAGGCCAAAGATTCCTACTACTCATCACAGCCCACCCTCTCCAGCCACCTTCATGCATCTCTCATTCATCCAGTCACTCACCATCATTCCCACTTTCCATGTCATTTTTGACCCCTCCTCCCAATTGTCTTAAGGGTGGTGAAGCAGCCCCCTTGCCCTGCCCTCAGCCCACCTCTGATTTCAGCTGCAGCTGTGCTGGACCCTTCTGATACACACTGACTGGACACTCGCTCCATCGCTTCACTTTCTTGCCTCGCGGCATCTTCTGAAGCTCCCGGATCTCACTCGGTCTGGAAGTGTGGGAGGAGCAGTATCAAAGCTCCTGTTGGCGATCTTCGACCAGTGGGGGACTGGAGTTAGAGGATAAATGCCCAGCTGGTGAGGGAATCTAAGAAGCATCCTATAAGGTTCCTCAGAGAGGAACCCCAGGGAGACTGAGCCGCAGCTGCCACAGCTGTAATGAGCTCCATGACACCGCATTGATTTCCTCCCTCTGCATCTCACTCTCTCTTCACTGCCTTACTCCTGCTTCCTGAAATCTCCTCTTAAAAGGTCATCCACACTGAAGTCCTAGTCCAGGCTCTGCTTCCAGGGCAATTTCAACCAAGGAAGGTGGGTGTATGTTCTAGAACATGTCAGTCATATGGGTAAATGATCAGGCAGAGTTTCTGGGGTAGGAGATTCGGGAAGGAGATGCAGAAGCTGTAAGCCATCTTGAGGCAATGGAGATACACGAATGGGAAGGAGTCAGGTAGGCTGAACTATTCTTGGCTTTGCCTCTAAGTTATCACGTGATGTTGGGCAAATCATTTATCCTCTCTGGACTTCAGTTTCCTCATATGTAGAGTGGAGATAATAAGCAGTCCCTGCCATCTCCTAGGGCTGTTGAGAGTGTGTCCCATTCAGCCTCTATCAGGTGCTAAAGGTTTTTCTTTTCCAACACCCACCCCAACCATCCTTTGGGGGGAATAACTGATTGGGTCAAAAGCTCACTCCTGGACCCTGACTTAGAGGAAGAAATTCTTAGGAGGAGGATTCAAAAGATTTAAATTCCTATTTTCTAAGGGGAACAACTTTTATTAGTGTGGCCTTGTTGTCTTAGAGCTATTCTTACCTTGGATTTTGGGTTTTTTTTTTTATAAGATGGACTTATTGTCTCCTCTTCATGTGCCTGGTGCATAAGACCTGGGGCTACCCCACCTGGAAGGGCTCTGCCTTTGGGAGCCTTCAAGAACCAGGTCAATGCCCCGTGGAGCAGAGGCATCAAGTATGTAGCCAGGACTGGATCTGCTTCAGTCCGTCAGAAGAGTGGCTCTGAGTGCTACTTCTCAGATGGCCAAGACCATGGCATGTGCCTTAGATAAAGGGGACAGTGCCCCCTTTCACCTGGCTCCAAACAGGACCTACAGCTTGGGAAAGGAAAATAAATCTTGGGGCTCCAAAATCACTAAGCTAAAGGGAAAAGTGAAGCTGGGAACTGCTTAGGGCAAACCTGCCTCCCATACTATTCAAAGTCACCCCTCTGCTCACTGACAAAAATGCATATGTGATTGCCTCCTTTGGAGAGGCGAATCAGAAACTCAAAAGATTGCAGCCATTTGTCTCCTATCTACCTGTGACCTGAAAGACCCTTCCCTGCTTAGAGTTGTCTCGCCTTTTCCAGATGGAACCAGTGTTCATCTTACATATGTTGATTGATGTCTCATGTTTCCCTAAAACATATAAAACCAAAGATCACTTTGGGCACATGTCATCAGGATCTCCTGAGGCCGTGTCAAGGGCACCTGTCCTCAACTTTGGCAAAATAAGCTTTCTATTAGCTGAGACTTGTCTCCGATTTTTGGAATCTACAAGCTCAGGGTTCAAATGAAAAAATTTACAGGTGTCCTGGCCCAGCCAGCTTGCCAGGGATAAAGAGCACATAGGGGAGGGGTTGGGGAGTTAAACAGTCAAATGCCAGTATCACAGGCAGGCACCCCTGAAAGGGAGCCCCCAAGAGTGATGGTGCCCTTGGGGACTTGGGATCCAATTCCTTCTCCTCTAAGAAACACAACCATCAGTGAGAATCAGTGACAAAGTGTAACGGGGTCTGTAAAGCGGTGTAAATAAGACTATGGGACGAAAATGAGGTGTCAAGAAAGAGCAGTGTGTCAGGCCCTTTCTCCTTTCTCTCCTAGGGCTCTGCTCACGTGCCTACACCAAAGCAACCTGCCGAGGGAAAGTGCTCACCGTTGTTCTGCTTTGGACTGCCAAAGTCTGTGAGCGATTCACACATTTTAATACCCGAATGTGCGGTTCACTGTCTCTTGGCATCACTATGACTTCCAGAGTAAGAAGAACTGGAGATGTTTCAGGCTGAGGGCCAGGAACTGTGTGTAACCCCAGCCCAGCTTCCCCAGCCTCCATTTACACTGAGAAGCCTAGCAAGGGACCATCAGACTTGTGGGCATCCAGGGTTAGCCTAACGCTTCACTTGACCACTGGATTTGGGGCAGTTTCTTCAAACTTTGAATCTGCCCATGAGACTGTTGAATATGTAAATGTCATTCATCATGTCTATTATGATGGGGAATAAAAAGTTGAACATGATTGGTTTGGGAATGGCTGTTTGACATGGAGTCCCTCCTGTCTGGCTGGCTGAGCACTGTGGCTGCGTACAACCGAGGCTACTCTAACAAGAAACCGAATGTGCGGTTGACTTCAGTTGTAGAGTTTCTCTCTCAGTACCAGATCCGGCGTGGGCTGTCCAGGTGGGAGGAGCAGCTCTGTTCCTCCCATCTTGTTGCTCCATGATTTCTTAGGGCATTGAGATATGGATGGCTGAAGCTGAGTTGCTGCCATGCCCACATTCCAGCTTGCAGAAATTTAGGAATTTAGTAACTGTCATGAATTTGTGGAGATAACTTGCAGTCTGCTGTCCCACCCCAGCCAATTATTTCCCACTCCCTTCTATTTAGTAATTTCTCACAGGACCAATGTTCTGATTCAGGAACACCAGAAAGCCAGAGTTCCTGGGGTATAAATGTTATCAAGAATGCAGAGTGTAGCGTGGTACCTGGCTGTTCTCAGTGTGTCCATGAGAACAGAATTTAAAGCACAAACTTAAAATTCAGAACAGAGATACACAATTGCTGTAAGAAAGGACTGTCCTGTTGGAGGGGTGAAAACATGCAAGCTGGGATATTGAGAAAGACTGGAATCATCCTTCCCACAGGCTCTTTCAGAATGTCATTGCTCCTGCCTGAAAACCAGACGCTAAGCAAGGTGACCCCTTGAGCTCCTTCCGGATTTATGATTTTTAGTATTCTGGTCCTAACAGACTTGTCATCCCCCCAGACCAAAAAAGAAAATCAACTTAAAAAATAATCTATGTCAAAAGAAATGTTATCTGAGGGGGGAATATCGGTTCCTAGATAATTCTACATTCACGTTAAGAGATTTTCTTCTTTTTATTTTCCTGACTCAGACTATTTGCATAGAGACAGAATCACAGTTCATCCGCTCGTGTCTCTTCTCTGCGTCTGTATTCTTGTCTGCTCTGGACCTTGACAATCAGTTGCTGTGACGATAACTGCATGCTTCCAGAATAGACCATTTCATAATTTCAGGTATAGGATGACGTACTCCCTCTTTGCTTGATGGTTTCTGTGATCGTTTGGGCTCTTTTGCTGCTCTTATAAGAGAGAGAAAGATCTCCTGTTGAAAGGAATTCTTCCAATTAACATTCTTTTTTTTTTTTTTTTTTTGAGACGGAGTTTCGCTCTTGTTACCCAGGCTGGAGTGCAATGGTGCGATCTTCGCTCACCGCAACCTCCGCCTCCTGGGTTCAGGCAATTCTCCTGCCTCAGCCTCCTGAGTAGCTGGGATTACAGGCACGTGTCACCATGCCCAGCTAATTTTTTGTATTTTTAGTAGAGACGGGGTTTCACCATGTTGACCAGGATGGTCTCGATCTCTTGACCTTGTGATCCACCGGCCTTGGCCAAAGTGCTGGGATTATGGGTGTGAGCCACCACGCTGGGCCCCAATTAACATTTTTTTTTTTTGAAACGTAGGCTTTCTCTTGTCTTTATTCTGGGGAGGAGGAATCCTCCTCGTCATCTTCCTCATCTTCATCATTGAATGAACAGGGGGTCGCGCCTCGGGACTCGGAGTAGTGAGAGGCTGCACTGCTGGACTGGTGACTGTTTGGGGCCAGGAACTGCCCAGTTGCTAAGGCCACTTCTGCATCCAAGCATAACCCTTGGTTTACACTTGACTGGGGTAAGGTGGCACCAGTGGTCAGGTCTAAATTTGAACCTGATTGGGTAGAGTTCAGAAGTAGTCCCTGATTTAACCAAGAAGGTCCTGTGGAGATATCTGTGATATAACCTTCTAAAGCCTTTGGCACCAGAGATTTCGCAAGTTTCAGATCCTCCAGAGAGCATTTGCCTGACTCCAAACCAAATGACATTCCCATCCGCTTTAGTACTTCTATGTCATCGTGGATCTCAAAGGTGTTGTCAAAATTGAAAAGATACTCAAACTTGTCACTGGAGATGCTGCAATCTATGACTGTTTTTCTGCTTGTATTGATAATTATAAATGGCAGCTGAATGGTAGAGTTCAGAGCTGGAGGGCCCTGATTTTGCTGTTCATTTTGTCGATTTCTCTGTACCAGGTTTTTGAAAGCAATTTGCTGTAGGAGAAGTTCTTGCAGCTGGGCCCGCTTCTGCTTTATCCGTTCTATCCGCCTCTGCTTTTCTATCTCCAGATTCTGACATTCCTGAGCAGAATTGGTAGGTAGGCCAATCCACTTGATTTCTTTTTTTTCCTTTGAAATTATGTTCATTGCCATTAGTACATTTAAAGCATCATAAACTCTTCGCCTAATGTTCTTCTGATCATAAGCCTGCGAATCAGCTGCCACATGGTTATTTGAATTGGTGAACTCGGACACCAGCTCATCAGCGACTTCATTGTATGATGTTGTACCTTTTCGTTGAACTTTCTCACACACTTTCATTGAAAAGTGTCTCAAGCCTTTCCCATTTTTATCTCCTTTTTCGCTCCGTTTACTTTCTGAAAAATCAGAGTCTATAAATTCTCTAGCCCGTTTTCTATCACTAGGGACCCAGCCAGTAGCTTCTGCTATGTGTGTCTGAGTAACCATTGCTGGTGCAGGGGTATATGGACTCCCAATCAGAACACTTCCTGAACTGGTTAGTCTCTGTGGTGTGCTTATAATCATTTGGGGTCCAACATTCACACTGATTGGTCCTAAGGTTTTTGGTAAAATCTTTGTAGGTGAGTTGGTATTGGAAACTGGAAATGCAACAAATGAAATGTTGCCTGGTCTAAGGAAGCATGCCTCTCACTCCCAATTAACATTTTTAAGGCTTCTTTATTCTTTTCTTATCCTCAATTTATAGAGATGATATCCATCTAAAGTCACTCTCACTTAACAGTTGTGGCAATTCTGAATGTCGACAGGAGAATGTCTCCTGGATTTCAGCCTTTTAGAAAATAAAATTGTTCAATGTGTTCACGAACAAAACACTGCAGTCTCCCCAGTGAGTTACCTGACATCTGGCAGAATCCTGGAAGGTAATTGTGATTCCAAGCTTCTGGGTTGGTCTCTGTCTCCCCCAAAACCTGTTACTCTGAAATTTCATGATTAAAAATCCCTTGCTTGGTCACCTGCTTTACAGCAAAAGCTTCCTTTGCCCCCTCACCCCAACCAAATTACCCAGAAAAATACAGGGATCACGGGTTCTGGTTCGTGGGGTGGGAAGGGAAACAAATGAGCACAGAAGCAGGGAGCACAGGGCCGCTGGGGACACCAGAACCAGCGTCTCCTTCTTAGATGTTTCCTTGGATGCAAGAAGAACGCATGGCAGATGCGTGGCCTACCCATATGATGGTGGCCTACCCATATCTCCTCTGCCCACCTGGAGGTCACCTCGAGCTTGTCCAACAGTTCCCGTAGAGAGTGACGGTAATCACCTCCAGCACCTGTTTCCCTCTGCTTGAAGGTTTCCGGTGGCCCCATACCAGGAGTCATTCCCGGTCAACTAGAAGTGCCAGGGAGTTAAAGCCCCAAGAGCGACCTTCAAGCCAATAAGAGATGGAGTTGGGATGAAAACCTCAGCTTCTTCATAGCTCATGGGACAATCCTGAGAGGTATTCCTCAAGTCTCTCCGAGGACCCTGTGGGACTTTGTCCAAGTCACCCATGGTAATAATCCCAGTATCCACTCACCCTTCCTTGGCTTTCCCACCTCCCATCTCACTCTCCCACTTACTCCCCGTCCTTTCTGGAATCACCTCTCCCCCTCCTACCCATTCCCCAGCCCCAGTGAACTACTTGGACCTAATTCCTCACTCAAGGTTTGCTTTTGAGGGAGCTCAATCCAAGACTGCATGTTTTCTCAAAACAATGATAGTTCATTGGTATCCCACGATGCCACCCACCACCCTAAATCAATTCCCCCAAAATCCCTACAGAGAAACCTCTGCTTGAGTCACACTATTCCCCTAGCTGTTCCCTGACGCGCTCCTCCACGTCTTTCATCACAGTCCCTGGAAAAGTTCCTAGTCTTTATTCCTAAGTCCTTGAAGATGCATGGCGCCAGTCCTTGACATTTCTGACAAACTGATCTGCCAACATTGTAGACTCCTGACGGAGGCACGTCATCAGCTTTTCCTCATGGCCATTTTCTCTGTTTAATTGCCTCATTAAATTCAAATGAGAGCCAATGTTCTTATCAGAAGACGCAAAAGTAAAATCCACCCTTGAGTTAACCTGATGACCAATGGCTTCTCATATACCTCAAATGACAAATGTTAGTAACGAAAACGCCTGCACAGATACAGCATGATTGAAACAATGGGGCAAGGAGGATGCATGATGCTCTGGATGAAACAGTGATGCACTCCTATTTTCTATCTCAATGAAAAATTGCAAATTGTACCCTCTTGTAGAACAAATAGCATTGCGACTTATGCTTCACAATTTATGTAATTGATTTCTCGGGTTTGTGACAGTTCTATCATGTTTCCAATAAATATATTTTCCCTCCCTAGAAAGTTGGTCATACAATGTTGGGAACGGGTGTTGGGGGAGCTCTAATTATTTTCATTTCTTTCAATTCCAAGGCAATTACCCCCTAAATCATTTATTTGCCACTTATCAGAAGCCAACTTGCATTTTTAATTCCTTTTTCTTCCGACAAAAACCCGGCTTCCCCAGGCAGGCATCTTGCCTTGTCCTTCTCCCAGGATCTGATAATTGCCAGTCATCTACAAATAGAAAAATAATTTTTCCTTGGTATTGATGAAAGTGTTGACACCTTTCTGAAACACATTGTAAAATTCTCTGCTTTCTTGCAGAGAGGAGAGAGCAGGACTGGATATCAGTGATTATACCATGCAGGATTACAGATTGTACTGAGTTTAGATTTTTCTGCCTTCCTCCTCAGTTGTCAGGCTGCTAGCCAGCTCTGCCACTCACATGACACCTGCCTCGAATGCCTGCCCCTTCCGTACTACAAGACTCTTTCCAGTTCCTAGATTAGAGTCTGCTGCAGACTGGAAATCCAACATCCCAGAAGTGATTTGGCGCTAAGTGCAAAAGGCACCAAATGTCTACCTTTTGTTCTGCAGCATCGTGATGGACATAACCGGGACTCAGAGATCCCTTTCCCTCAGCTCTCTGAGTTGGAAACTGTCAGGTGCAAAAAGCCAACATCCTTACATACACAAGGTTCGGGCAGGTCTGAGCAGTGCCTGGTTAATGTTAAATGATGCAGAGAAAGGAATTGCTGACATCTGAAAGCCTATGTGAAAACTGTATGCCATGACTCATACAACTTCACCCCCAGCCCTGGTTTTCCACAATTCCAGAAGTGGAAAAAATAAGGCAACTCTTTTTTTCAGAATTCAGAAAAATACCTGTTGAGTAACAACAGCTTGGCCTACACAAGACAGCATTCCCCTCTTCTAGGAGTTAACTTTGCTTTGCCCCATGGCCAGAAAAACCCCATTCTTTACAGATGACGTCACGCCACCATTCTCGATCCACTACAGAAACTAACCACAGACCTGTGTCCTACTAGAGGTGATTTGGTAGCACTGAAGATCAAATTCTGATTTTTTTTCAAAAAAAGTGAACATAAAACATGTTTAAAATGCTTGCTGTCTTTTTCTTGTCTGCAAATTAATTATCTAGGTTAATCCAGTCATCTTCCCATTACACACACGAAAGAGCTCTAACTGAACAACCAATCTTGTTTGTAATACAAGATCTTGGGGAATTTGAGCTAGATCATCAGTGAGCACTGGAATTCTCTGTTTTAAGGGGTTCAGTCATGCACACATCCCCTCCTGCGGTATCACAACCACACCAGAAAATCTTGCTCTGGCTGACAGAAAACTAAGAAGTAGCTTTGGTTTTACTTTGATGGAAAATCTCAGGAAAGTTCTGCTTTCATGGATGTTTACTGTTTCACACGCCCAATCAGAAACCACCTGAGAAGTTCATGCTGTGGGTGCACCAACAGTGAGTATTGATGGAAAGTTTTTGTATCTGAGTGGAGTCAACCACCAAATGCTCCACGTCAGCAATGACCCAGCCTGGGAGAACCATGGAAAGCAAAAAATGAAACCAGCAATTCTTAGAGAAATACTCAACAGCTTTTTGGTAGCCTGAAAGAGTAGGCAGATGTGGCCGGGCTCAGTGGCTTACACCTGTAATCTCAGCACTTTGGGAGACCAAGGCGGGTGGATCACTTGAAATCGAGAGTTCGAGACCAGCCTGACCAACATGGAGAAACACCATCTCTACTAAAAATACAAAATTAGCAGGGCATGGTTGCACATACCTGTAATCCCAGCTACTCGGGAGGCTGAGGCAGGAGAATCACTTGAAACCAGGAGGTGGAGGTTGCAGTGAGCTGAGATCGCACCATTGTGCTACAACCTGGGCAACAAGAGTGAAACTCTGTCTCAAAAAAAAGGAAGGAAGGAAGAGAAAAAAAAAGAAAGAGAGAGAGAGAGAGAGAAGGCAGACATAACAGAAACATGGTGAATTCAGTGCTAGGCATGGTCTTCTTAGAGCTCCCATGACTGCAAGACTAATGAACAATGAAGGATATGGTACCTCTGATGCACCATGTAAAAAGATGACGTTATCACGTGCTCATTAGGGCCGCTTTTACCTACATGCATTTATTCTCACAATCACTCTGCACTGGTTCTGGGGTTATTGTCATTTTATAGATAAGTCTCAGAAGGATTAAAACCATCTGTCTATGGTCACCCAGCAGGTAAGAAGCAGGACCAGCATTAGAACCCATGACGTTCTTGCTGAAACTATATGCACATTCTTAGGAAGATACTGCTTTGGAAATGAAGCTTCTGTTAACACAAATTCTTCTCCAGGGGTGATATTCAAAATATTTAGCCACAGTATGACAGGGCATCGACCAATCAGAAGGGAAGCAGCAGTAAACAGTACAGACAACTATACCACCCCTTTTCTACTGAATATCTGCCCCTCCTCTTCAGCCCATCAGTGGGATTTGGAACTGAGTGATTGTAGAGAATCACCATCTCTCATAACCGATGGCTTCTCATATACCTCGAATGACAAATGTTAGAAACTGAAACACCTGCACAGATGCAGCATGATTGAAACAAGAGGAACCACGGGGCGGGGAGGATGCATGATGCTCTCTGATGAAGCAGGGGTGCCTTCTTATTTTCTATCTTAATGAAAAAAGAGAACGATCCAAGATGGCTGATCGCTAACATCTCGGGATTGCAGCTCCCAGTGAAAGCGCAGAGAACGAGAGGATGCCACACTTTCAGACAAATTTTTGTTGCTCACGGAGCAGAAGATTCCCAGTGGAGGAGGCGCACGGGTCACCAGCGCTACTCTTGTGGCCGGCACAGCGGTTTTGCTGGCACCTCGGTGCGGCAGCTCTTGGTGTAGAGTAAACGGGACTGGTTCCCCTTCTGACCGACATTTGGAGCTCCAGGAAGGCAGAGTCGCCTATTGCGGACTCAAGAAGGAAGCCAGACTGGAGATTCCCAGGCTGAAAAGCACCATCAGTCTTAACGCCGCTGTTCTGGCCCTGGGAATTAACAACTTGGACGTCCACTCAGAGACTTAATTTGAAAGTTGGTAATTACAAAGATGACAGGTGGATAAATTTACAATGATGGGAAGAAACCAGCATAAAAACGCTGAGATTACTCAAAATCAGAATGCCTCTCCCTCTAAAGAGGATCACAGTTCCTCATCAACAAGGGAACAAGGCTTGATGGAGAACGAGCACATCCCATTAACAGAATCAGGCTTCAGAAGATGGATAATAAGAAACTT